AATTATCACCTTCCGTTTTCATAAAAATCAATTTCTGAAAATTTACACACCCTGAGACCCAATACAGCTCTGCGCCACGGGTCTACCCTTGTGTATATTGTGTCACACCTCCGACATATACTGTACACTGCCCCTTCTCCCCTCTCTATAGTCTATACCTCTCCCATACTATACTTTTACCCTTCCACCTATCTACTGTGTTCTCCTTCCCCTATAATGTGCATCTATCCACCTCCTCACCCATCTGTCTCTATAGCATTCCTCTCTATCCACACCTTCATATATCTGCTTCTCTATTATGCCTCTTCATTTACCTCTTCAAACAGCTCTTGTGGTGGGAGAGGTTGTTGACCGTGCGGATGGTAGTAGTGGCTATAAGGTGAAGTTGGAGTAGTGGTAGTAACTGGTGGTGTGGGAGTGGTAGTTCAAAATGGTTGCTGCTGCCAAATCTTATGTTAACAGAGTCTGGTGATGGTGGGAGGGATTGGTGGTGGTAACTGGTGGTGGTAGAGATTGGTAATAATGACTGGTAGTGTTGGTAAAGATTGGTGCTAGTGACTGATGGTGGTGGCAGTTGAGATTGGTAATGATGAATGGTAATGTTGGTACTGAACTGCACAATCAGTAACTGGTGTCAGCAGAGACAGTATGTGATGGTAGTAGCAGTGTTGGTGGTAGTAAAAGCTTTGTATGAAAAGTAAGAGTGTAGGAGAAAGTGGGGAGGGGGGTTGTGACTTGGCTTGGTGCCTATCTGTCATGATGCCTGGTATGAGCCAGACTGGGGCTCCTGACCACACCCACCTGCCACTGACTGCTGCTCACCCTTCCTTGAGGCCATGATCTAAACCATCATCAACAGTCTCTGCATCGTGTGGGACCTATGATACACCTGTAATACATTTTATTGGGGGCGAGGATAACGTTACAAGAGAAGATGAGATGTTTTTTCTTTTATTAATTCTCATTTATGCATTTAAAAGATGTCTGGTTACTAGGCACAGTACAGGGGCAAAGAAGGAGATAAGTGTAGCAAAGTCTTTTAGCTTATTCCATACTAGTAAATGTCTAGATTAATTCTGCCTTGTAAATACTACTGGATCCCCCCCCCCCTCCCCCCATTGGGAGTTTCGCTTTTACGTGAGGGAGCGAGGAAAAACCTTTGAATACTGTACAGTACCGTACTGTATACTATTCTATTTACAAAGTAAGAAGTAGATCTTTACCTTAGTTCCTACTGAAATTAGACAGTTCTGATTTTTTTTCTTATGTGCTGAAGTGTGAGAAGCATACAGTACCGTACACAATCGGTGATTTATTTGCCACTCCTTAGTTATTCTTTTCCACCAAGTTTGATGAAAAATGATTGTGCGGTTTTGGCTGCCCTGAACAGGCACATACACAGAGTCAGACACACGGCTATTCCTATATATATATACTGTATGTATATGTATATATATATATATATATATATATATATATATAATATATATATATATATATATATATATATATATATATATATATATATATATATATATATATATATATATATATATATATATATATATACAGTGAACCCTCACTTTACGCGTAAAACCCACGTAAAGTGAACAACATAACATATGGGATTAATTGAAATAGAGACCGGGCCGACCCCCAAACTCCACTTTTTCCCGACACAATACTACGTTTTACTAAAAATAACATCTTAACTTTATGATGGTATTCACCCACACATAATATAGAAGGGAACAATCAATAAAAAAATAATAAACTGAAGGTTAGGTTAGAAAAAAACAAGGTTGGGGTTAACACTTACGTTAGTAGAAGAGATGGGTCGGCGTAGGGGAATGGAGGCTGGTTCCAGGCAGAGGGCAGGCTACTGGCCCTCAGGTGAGTCTTCATCGGTGTCATCCACACTTACTAGTGCCTCCCTGACAAATCCCTCAAAGTCATCATCACTGTCTCTGCCTCTGTCACTATCACTGGCTTGGGCTGGCTGTGGTGGGTTGCAGGCGAAGAACTCTGTTATGCTTTGCTGACGGCTGGTGTTTATGTTGTCGTGATAAACCTTGATGTAGGGCTCCATAGTCTGCAACAGCTGGGTAGTGAAGATTTCATACCTGTTTGCGTCAGGGTCGTCGGAAAGGAGGAGCTTGACTTTCTCAATACACTCGATGGCACCCCTTACATTACTATGGGATAAGCGGCGTTCTTTTTGGGATGACGCACCACCTGCCTCTTCACTGACGTCATCATCATCTACCATCTCGTCGGTAGTCACATCAGGATCCCTTATCACCTCCAGGATGTCGTCGTTGGTGGTCTCGGAGAAGCCTGCAACTGTAACACTCTGCGCAGCTTCTCTGGCAAGGTAGACTGCTACTGCAACAGTCTGAACCTCACCAGTCACAGATTTACTCTGCCTAACACCCGGAATGCCTTGCAACACATGTCTCCATGCGTGATGAACAGTTGCTAGACAGCTGATCCCATGCCT